TTGCCATTCACAAAGCACAGTGCTACTCACACATGTACAGTGGGCACCCGGCTGTGAAGCGGCAAGCTGTCACAGCTGGCTGCCCACACTAAAGATGCTGGCGCCAGGGAGAGAAGAAACCAACGGTGGTGAGGACACCACTGGACCGAGGAACAGGTAAGTGTCTGTATTTTAAGGGTCAGCAGCTGCAGTTTTTGTAGCTGCTGACTTGTATTTTTTTTTTTCAGGTGGAACTCCGCTTTAATTGAACAAGCTGAAGTTAGAAACTGGCTACCACACACAGCTACACCAGATGTATCATTCTCCAGTTTTAGTAAATCAACCCCAATGTGTGGGATGCAGTTTTGTTTACCCGATCTATGTTCCCCCAGCTGACAGACAGCACCCCCCCTCCCCATGCTCCAGCAGTGGACCGTCCCTTGGCGTCATCAAGTCCAGTGCAGAGCTATGCTAGGTTCACACCTATACAGTTTGCGTTTGATGCGTTTCTGCAGTGCTTTTTGTAGTACATTTTGCATTTTTTGCACATGCGGTTTTGATGTGTTTTGCTTTTGTTTTCCAACTTGTTGCTGGGCAAATTAAAACACATCAAAAAACGCACTACATGCATTTCTGCAGCGTCTCAATTAAAGTGTATTGAACCAAAAACACAACTGTTTGCATTGAAAAAAGTCCACGGCCCTTTCCAAAAAACTCACCAGATGAAAACACAGAGATGTGAACTTGTCCCATAGGAAATCATGTTAAATGGACTGTAGTGCATTTCTGCAATATGCAAAACGCACCGCAAAACAAATAGATGTGAACCTAGACTAATTCAGTCTCAATGATTTTCAAGGATATTAAACTGCTGGAGCATGGGGGAGAAGGGTCTACCAGCACAGAGGATACGGGGTACGTAAAACTGCTACACCCAGAGCCCTAGACAGGAACGAAGAGGTTTTTTAATTTTTCCCAGCTTTAAAGTGCTATTAAACACAAAAGCAAACAATTATTATATTGCATCTTACCAATTCTTAGATACAGGATTGGACAAAAATATGGAAACACTACATGATTTGCAAGTGTGCAAGTGACGACATGTTTCGCGTTGAAAGTGGAAGTGTTGTAACAGTCTGTGGCTTTCGCTATGTGATGAGACACCTAGCTAACAAGTGCAGCACAGTAGCTAAATGGTTAGCATTTCCACCTGGCAGTACTAGTGTCGTTGGTTCAAATCCCAACCACGGCACCATCTGCCTGGAGTGGCATGTTTTCCCTGTGCCTGTATGCGTTTCCTCCAGGCACTCCGGTTTCCTCCCAAGCTCAAAAGACATGCTGGTAGGTTAATTGGCTCCTGTCTAAATTGGCCCTAGTATGTGTATGTATGAATGTAAGTTAGGGACCTTAGATGGTATACCCCTTCAGGGTTAGGGACTGATGTGAATGTTCCATTGTAGCTCTGGCTGTATGTTTAGGGTCGTTGTCCTGCTAGAAGGTGAACCTCAGCCCCAGTCTCAAGTCTTTTGCCCTGTATTTGGATCCATCCATCTTCTCATCAACTCTGACCAGCTTCCCTTTCCCTGCTGAAGAAAACCATCCCCACCACGTTTCACAGTGGGGATGGTGTGTTTAGGGTGATTAGTTAGTTTTCCACCCCACATAGCATTTTGATTTTAAACCAAAAAGTTCAATTTTGGTCTCATCTGACCAGAGCTCCTTCTTCCACATATTTGCTGTATCCCCCACATGGCTTCTTGCAAACTGCAAATGGGACTTCTTATGGCTTTCTTTCAACAATGGCTTTTTATTGGCACTCTTCCTGTCAGGGCTCCCGGGTATGACCAGAGGTGTGTGACTGACGCAGGGAAACGTAGACTTCAGATATGTTATAAACAATATAATTTATTGACACTAACAATACAAACATAAACGCAGTGCAATACTAAAACATAACACAGTGCAAACGAACAAAACCAAACCACCCACAGATGACAGTACATACAATGCAAGCGTCAGGCAGGCCGGGTCAATATCAATCAGGCAGGTAGGTACAGGGGGAGCAAGCGGAGAATGGTCGGGGTCACAAGCCAGGTTCAGCAGGTAGCGGGCAGCGTGGTACAGAGGGTCAGGCAGAGGGATGGTCAGGAACAAGCCGGGGTCAGAGCAGGAGAAGTCAGATCAGGCAGGGTCAGCAACAAGACAGGAACAGGATGCAGGAACAGGATACAGGGCCCAGGAAAAACACACACCAAGGCAGAGTCTGCAGGTCTGGCCATCCCTTAAATACACCAGTATAAGCAGTTTCAGGTGTTTAGCTGGCTGCAAGGTTGAGTCTCTGATTGCTGGGAGCACCCGCTGGCCAGCCCTGGTACTGCAGCCCATAAGGCAGGCGAGTCCCACCATTGCTGGCCAGTCCATTCCTGACAGTACCCCCCCCCCCCCTCAAGGAGCGGCCTCAGGACGCTCCAAACAGTCCTAGCTGGGCAAAATGTTCCACCGCCCGGGTCTGGTAACTGGCGGGATATCAAAGACTGGCACACCGGGCAGGACTCCGGGCAGCGGCACACCGGGCAGGACTCCGGGCAGCGGCACACCAGGCAGAGGCACATCGGGCAGAAGCACACCGGGCAGCGGCACATCGGGCAGGACTCCAGGCAGCGGCACATCGGGCTGGACTCCAGGCAGAGGCACATCGGGCTGGACTCCAGGCAGAGGCACATCGGGCTGGACTCCAGGCAGAGGCACATCGGATCACCAGGCGAAGCAGCGGGCCCCCAGGCGGAGCGGCGGGCGCCGGGCCCCCAGGCGGAGCGGCGGGCGCCGGGCCCCCAGGCGGGGCGGCGGGCGCCGGGCCCCCAGGCGGGGCGGCGGGCACCGGGCCCCCAGGCGGGGCGGCGGGCGCCGGGCCCCCAGGCGGGGCGGCGGGCGCCGGGCCCCCAGGCGGAGCAACAGGTCTCGGGCCCCAGGCGGAGCGACAGGTCTCGGGCCCCCAGGCGGAGCGACAGGTCTCGGGCCCCCAGGCGGAGCGACAGGTCTCGGGCCCCCAGGCGGAGCGACAGGTCTCGGGCCCCCAGGCGGAGCGACAGGTCTCGGGCCCCCAGGCGGAGCGACAGGTCTCGGGCCCCCAGGCGGAGCGGCGGGCGCCGGACCCCCAGGCGGAGCGGCGGGCGCCGGACCCCCAGGCGGAGCGGCGGGCGCCGGACCCCCAGGCGGAGCGACAGGTCTCGGGCCCCCAGGCGGAGCGGCGGGCACCGACCCCCAGGCGGAGCGACAGGTCTCGGGCCCCCAGGCGGAGCGGCGGGCGCCGGACCCCCAGGCGGAGCGACAGGTCTCGGGCCCCCAGGCGGAGCGGCGGGCGCCGGACCCCCAGGCGGAGCGACAGGTCTCGGGCCCCCAGGCGGAGCGGCGGGCGCCGGACCCCCCAGGCGGAGCGACAGGTCTCGGGCCCCCAGGCGGAGCGGGCGCCGGACCCCCAGGCGGAGCGACAGGTCTCGGGCCCCCAGGCGGAGCGGCGGGCGCCGGACCCCCAGGCGGAGCGACAGGTCTCGGGCCCCCAGGCGGAGCGGCGGGCGCCGGACCCCCAGGCGGAGCGGCGGGCGCCGGACCCCCAGGCGGAGCGGACCCCCAGGCGGAGCGACAGGTCTCGGGCCCCCAGGCGGAGCGGCGGGCGCCGGACCCCCAGGCGGAGCAGGCGGGCGCCGGACCCCCAGGCGGAGCGGCGGGCGCGGACCCCCAGGCGGAGCGACAGGTCTCGGGCCCCCAGGCGGAGCGGCGGGCGCCGGACCCCCAGGCGGAGCGACAGGTCTCGGGCCCCCAGGCGGAGCGGCGGGCGCCGGACCCCAGGCCAGGTCGGGCCCCCAGCGACAGGCGTCTCGGGCCCCCAGGCGGAGGCGGAGGCGGCGGGCGCCGGACCCCCAGGCGGAGCGACAGGTCTCGGGCCCCCAGGCGGAGCGGCGCGGCGCGCGGACCCCCAGGCGGAGCGACAGGTCTCGGGCCCCCAGGCGGGGGCGGACCCCCAGGCGGAGCGACAGGTCTCGGGCCCCCAGGCGGAGCGGCGGGCGTCGGACCCCCAGGCGGAGCGACAGGTCTCGGGCCCCCAGGCGGAGCGACAGGTCTCGGGCCCCCAGGCGGAGCGACAGGTCTCGGGCCCCCAGGCGGAGCGACAGGTCTCGGGCCCCCAGGCGGAGCGACAGGTCTCGGGCCCCCAGGCGGAGCGACAGGTCTCGGGCCCCCAGGCGGAGCGACAGGTCTCGGGCCCCCAGGCGGAGCGACAGGTCTCGGGCCCCCAGGCGGAGCGACAGGTCTCGGGCCCCCAGGCGGAGCGACAGGTCTCGGGCCCCCAGGCGGAGCGGCGGGCGCCGGGCCCCCAGGCGGGGCGGCGGGCGCCGGACCCCCAGGCGGAGCGACAGGTCTCGGGCCCCCAGGCGGAGCGGCGGGCGTCGGACCCCCAGGCGGAGCGGCGGGCGTCGGACCCCCAGGCGGAGCGACAGGTCTCGGGCCCCCAGGCGGAGCGACAGGTCTCGGGCCCCCAGGCGGAGCGACAAGCGCCGGACCCCCAGGCGGAGCGACAGGTCTCGGGCCCCCAGGCAGAGCGGCGGGCGCCGGACCCCCAGGCGGAGCGACAGGCACCGGATCACCAGGCACGACAGTGGGCTCCGAATCAACTGGCATGACCGCTGGCACTGGGTCAGACAATGGATCGTCTGGCTGGACAGCGGGCATTGGGTCACCAGGCATCAGGTCACTTGGCTCGACAGCGGGCACCGCGTCATCTGGCAAGGCAGTGGGCTCCGAGTCAACTGGCATGACCGCGGGCACTGGGTCAGACATTGGATCGTCTGGCTGGACAGCGGGCATCGGGTCACCAGGCATCAGGTCATTTGGCTCGACAGCGGGCACCCGCGTCATCTGGCAAGGCAGTGGGCTCCGAGTCAACTGGTATGACCGCGGGCACTGGGTCAGACATTGGATCGTCTGGCTGGACAGCGGGCATCGGGTCACCAGGCATCAGGTCATTTGGCTCAACAGCGGGCACCGCGTCATCTGGCAAGACAGTGGGCACCAAGTCACCAGGCACGACAGTGGGCTCTGACTCAATTGGCACGACAGCGGGCACCGGGTCATCAGGTACCGGATTGTCTGGCTCGACAGCGGGCATCGGGTCACCAGGTATGACAGCGGGCACTGGGTCACCAGGCATCAGGTCATTTGGCTTGCCAGCGGGCACCGCGTCATCTGGCAAGGCAGTGGGCACCAGGTCACCAGGCATTGGATCGTCTGGCTCGACAGCGGGCCATCGGGTCACCAGGTATGACAGCGGGCACTTTGTCACCAGGCATCAGGTCATTTGGCTCGCCAGCGGGCACCGCGTCATCTGGCAAGGCAGTGGGCACCGAGTCACCAGGTACGACAGCGGGCTCTGAGTCAATTGGCACGACAGCGGGCACCGGATCAGGTACCGGATCATCTGGATCAACAGCGGGCATCGGGTCAACTGGCCTAATAGGATCATCAGGCTGGATCAGTTCATCATGCTGGGTAGAGGCGTCAGGCTGAAGAGAGGCGTCAGGCTGAAGAGAGGCGTCAGGCTGAAGAGAGGCGTCAGGCTGAAGAGAGGCGTCAGGCTGAAGAGAGGCATCAGGCCGGGTACAGGCATCAGGCCGGGTACAGGCATCAGGCCGGGTACAGGCATCAGGCCGGGTACAGGCATCAGGTTGAAGTGCGGGTGCCGAGGCACCAGGCTGAACCACGGAAGGCAGGTTCTCAGATGGCAGGCTCACCGGTTTGGATACTGGCAGGATGGTACTGGTTGGAAAGAATTTTCGCTTTTTTTCTGGTTTTAACTACTGGAGCACTGCAAGTAAACGCAGGTCTGCAAACGAATGGAGCAGCTAGAGACAGAGAAGAGCTGGAGGATGGAACAGAGGAGGGAGCAGTTGCTACAGAGGGCTTTTTTACAGGGTTAAAGGCAGGATAGGTGCAGCGAGTGGGAACAGGGTACTGACATGCGGTAGATAGCAGGGCAGGAGGAGCTGTTGGGAATGCAGGAATAGAGCTTTGAGGAAATAGAATTAGAAGCAGGACTGGGTTTTTGTAGGCTGACTGAGGCCGGGTGCAACAAATCTGTCCATGTCTGCAGTATGGGTTGAACGAAACTGAGCTTACACAAAGCCTGTCTGACCAAAGACTGCACTGCGTTTATACAATCTCTTAGTACCTGTGGTGAACATGCAGAATAATGCTCCAAGAAGCAATCCACATCATCCTCTAATAACCATACCAGGGACTCTACCTGGTCGGCACTAAATGGCGGCAAAAATTCATCCCTGCATTCGGGGGGTACCAGATGAAACCAACTCCGCACAAACCTGAATCAATGGCTGCACCTCAGAGAATTCTGTGCCCTGATCTACTAGAACATGAGCGAGCCGTTTACATTCTAGCAGTTCATCCCGGGGATACTCCTTCAGAGTTTGATAAGCATACTCTCTGTCATCAAACACTAGCAGATATAAATACACAACCTCATCAAGATCCATCCTTCCCATCAACAAACCAAGATGGCTTCCCTGTGCAGCCACTTCTGGTCAGGATTGGCCTTGGTGTAATGTCAGGGCTCCCGGGTATGACCAGAGGTGTGTGACTGACGCAGGGAAACGCAGACTTCAGATATGTTATAAACAATATAATTTATTGACACTAACAATACAAACATAAACGCAGTGCAATACTAAAACATAACACAGTGCAAACGAACCAAACCAAACCACCCACAGATGACAGTACATACAATGCAAGCGTCGTCAGGCAGGCCGGGTCAATATCAATCGGGCAGGTAGGTACAGGGGGAGCAAGCGGAGAATGGTTGGAGTCACAAGCCAGGTTCAGCAGGTAGCGGGCAGCGTGGTACAGAGGGTCAGGCAGAGGGATGGTCAGGAACGAGCCGGGGGTCAGAGCAGGAGAAGTCAGCAGAGGTCAGATCAGGCAGGGTCAGCAACAAGACAGGAACAGGATGCAGGAACAGGATACAGGGCCCAGGAAAAACACACACCAAGGCAGAGTCTGCAGGTCTGGCCATCCCTTAAATACACCAGTATAAGCAGTTTCAGGTGTTTAGCTGGCTGCAAGGTTGAGTCTCTGATTGCTGGGAGCACCCGCTGGCCAGCCCTGGTACTGCAGCCCATAAGGCAGGCGAGTCCCACCATTGCCAGTCCATTCCTGACACTTCCATAAAGGCCAGATTTTTGGAGTACACGACTAATAGTTGTCCTGTGGACAGATTCTACCACCTGAGCTGTGGATCTCTGCAGCTCCTCCGGAGTTACCATGGGCCTCTTGGCTGCCTCTCTGATTAATGCTCAGTTTAGGTGGACAGCCATGTCTTGGTAGGTCTGCAGTTGTGTGTTTTCGGATGATGGATTGAACTGTGCTCCGTGAGATGTTCAAAGCTTGGGATATTTTCTTATAACCTAACCCTGCTTTAAACATCTACACAACTTTATCCCTGACCTGTCTGGTGTGTTCCTTGGCCTTGGCACATGTATGCCATTCCTTCAGATCGCATGCACCAGTGCTGCTACGCAAGTAAATATTTCCTAAATGGTGCATATGTAGGAAATATTTATTATAGGCTTACCTGTAGGTACAAGCTGCCTCCTGGGAAAGCTACAGCACCACCAGCCCCTTCCAGTGAATTCTTGTAATTAATATGTGACATTTTGCAAAATCTTGCAAGAGACTGGGAAATAGTACATTTATTTAATAATGTCAATTTAGTATTCGTTTTTATATTTTGCTTTTCTTTATGCAGCCCATTGCCTTTCAAAATAATACAATTCCCTTTCTGTGCAGCTGTGGATAAATTACGACAAACCATAGTCCAGTTTTATGTAGGTTGGTTAATCTCTCTTGATTCAAAACTAGAACAATCAGGGGACCAGGATGGAAAAGGAGACCAAAATGGAGCTATGATCATAAAGCATGGGAGCTGTCGTTTACCCTAGGTTCACGCCTAAGCATTTTGCAGAAACACAGTACAGTCCATTTCACATGATTTCCTATGGGACGGGTTCACATCTCCGCATTTTCACCCGGTGCATTTTTTTAAAAGGGTCATGGACTTTTTTGAACGCAAAAAGTTGTGTTTTTTTGTTCTATAAACTTCAATGGAAACACTGCAGAAAAGCATGTAGTGCGTTTTTGTGTGTTCTGCGTTTTAAATATGCCTAGCAACAAGAAAAATGAAAAAAAAAATGCAAAATGCGGCAAAAACGCAGGTGCAAAATGCAACGCACAGCCGGGTCAAACGCAACCTGCATAGGTATTAACCTAGCCTTAAAGGTAACGTCAAAAGATCTTTGACGGCTTTGTACTTAAGTGGAGCTATGTACACTAAAATTCCCATCATGGTTCACCATGATATTTGAAAGCTACTTTGCATGTAAAGAAGCCTATTGATGATACAATTTATTTGGTTGAACCAGTGGGTTGAACAAAAAAAAAAAACTGGCTTGATTTTCTCATCCACACACTTGATGTGGATGTGGGAATCCTCCCTGTTGAGCTATTGTATTCTGACAGTAGAGAGACTTCTCTGATGCCAGATTACAGTGGCTACAGGCTATAGCCTGAGGCTAATCTAGGGGGGAAAATTGTTGAGGGCAGTTGGACAGAAGTCAGTCTGTAGATCGACTTCTGTACCAGCTCCCTCCCCATACATGGATCAAAATTCAGTTGGTCCCAGCTGAATTGGCTGAATTTTGGTCCATGTATAGCCAGCTTAAAGAGGATATTCTTTAATGATTAATAGTCAGCAGCTACAAAAACTATAGGTGCTGACTTTTAATAACAACTCACCTGTCCAAGGATCCGGCTCTGTCCTCACCCAGCCGGTTTCTTCACCGGTCTTCAGGTCCCCAGTTCTGGCAGTTTAACTGTGGGTAGCAGGCTGTGACTGCAGCTTCACAGCCGGCTGGCCACTGTGCGTGCGCAAGCTGAGCTGCGCTTTGTGAATGGTCCCCAGCAGTATTCTGGCACCTGTGATGTGTCCAAGAAGACTGCGGGCAGGGGGAGGAGAACTTCCACTCGGATCACCTAGGCGATCCAAGTTGAAATGGGTTTGGGTACCTATCAAAACCAGGTACCTGCCCCCCCCCAAAAAAAAAAAATTTGTCCCAAACATGTCAAAGGAGGAGGAGGAGGAAGAGCAGGACTTCACCTTTTGGGTGACGTTCCGCTTTAAGTTAACTTTTCAGAAAGGACAATGTGTAGTTTCCTTCATATAAGGGCTTGCCTCTCTTGGAGTGCAGGAGATACAGTTAGGTCCATATATATTTGACAGGCAAATTTTTCATACTTTTGTCTCTGTATGCCACCAGAATAAATTAAAACGAAACAATCCAAATGAATTTGAAGTACAGACTTTCAGCTTTAATTCAAGGGGTTGAACATAAATATCAAGAACAAATTTTAGGAACTGCAACCATTTTTATACACAGTCCCTCCATTTTCAGGGGCTCAAATGTAATTGGACAAATGAATATAATCATAAATAAAAATGTTTGTTTTAAATATTTTGTTTAGAATTCTTTACTGCAATGACTACCTGAAGTCTGGAACCTATGAACATTACCAAAAACTGGGTTTCCTCCTTTCTGATGCTTTGCCAGGCTCTAACTGCAGCTGTTTTCAGTTCTTTGTGGGCCTTTCTGCCTTTAGTTTTGCCTTCAGCAAGTGAAATGCATGCTCAATTGGGTTGAGATCAGGTGAATGACCATTGAAGAATATTACACTTCTTTTCCTTCAAAAGCTCCTGGGTTTGCTTTTGCAGTGTGTTTTGGATCATTGTCCATCTGTACTGTGAAGCGCTGTCCAATCAACTTTGCTGCATTTGGCTGAATCTGGGCTGACAGTATATCTCTAAACACTGCAGAATTCATCCGGCTGCTTTTGTCTTTTGTCACATCATCAATAAACACCAATGACCATCATCAATAAACACCAATGACCCAGTGCCAGTGGAAGCCATGCATGCCCATGCCATCACCATGTTTTACAGATGACGTTGTGTGCTTTGGATCATGAGCTGTTCCAAGCCTTCTCCACACTTTTTTCTTCCTGTCATTCTGGTACAGATTAATCTTAGTTTCATCCATCCAAAGATTGCTTTTCCAGAACTGGTCTGGCTTTTTTAGATGTTTTTTGGCAAAGTTTAATCTGGCTTTTCTATTCTTCAGGCTTATGAATGGTTTGCACCTTGTGGTAAATCCTCTGTATTTGCTCTTGTGAAGTCTTCTCTTGATTGTAGACTTTGACAATGACACGCCCACCTCCTGGAGAGTGTCCTTCACTCCTCTGGATGTTGTGAATGGGTTTTTCTTTATTATAGAGAGGATCCTGCGATCATCCACCACTGGTGTCTTCTGTGGACATCCATGCCTTTTTATGTTGCTGAACTCATTAGTGCGTTCTTCTTTCCTCAGAATGTAGCAAATTGTTAA